CTTTCTTAGCAAATCTTTAATTGGCCTTCCGTCTACTTTAGTTGACCAAATCTCTCTGTTTGCTAGTATTTCTAGTCTTATATTTAAATTTTCCTGAATAATTAAATATGTTAGATTATTTTTGAGCAGCTTCACTTCTTCTTCATCTATACTTTCTGTTCATATATTGCTAGTATATTCTAAGAGGCCTTGCCCTTGTCTTATTCTTATTTCTGTAATATTTCTGATATCGTTTATGCTATTTAGTCTATTAACTAGACTTAATATTTGCTTTGTTTTTATTATATTCCATAGCATTCTCATGTTTAGGATTCTACTATGAGATATAATATAATTTGGTATAGTTCTAGCTAGGCCTATTTTGTTTTTAGCTGTTATTATATATGGATACTGAATTCTTTCATATTCGTCTTTCGTTAAATAGATGTATTATAGCAGATACTCTAGTTTTGGAATTAAACAAATATTGTTTATATACAAAACTTGGCTTACTAATACTAGTTTCTTTTTCATCAGATTAGCAAAAAGTCTTGTTATTTGCTTTGCTTTTGCTATGATTTGTTTTTTTCTAACCTTGTTTCCTATTTAAATACCTAAGAACCTGACTGCTTCTTTTTCTTTTGTAGAGTAAAGCTCCTGCTTTTCTACTATAACTTTTCTTTCCTCAGGTTTCTTCTTTGTATTTATTGTTACTAGTTTTGACTTGCTAGGGTTTATTTAGATATCATTAAAGTTAAAGAATTCTTCTGTGATTTTAATTGTTCTTTCAAGCTGTTCTTTTATACTTGCTATTCAAATTGTATCATCTGCAAAAGAAGGAAAAAATCAGAGTTTTTGCTAAATCTAAATATAGTTAAAAATAAAAGCTTTAGCTATGATATAGTATAAAGATCAAGCAGAATTAAGAGCTCAGTCAAGCAATTTATAACTAAACAAACAAAAAGATATAATGATGCAGAGTGGACATATTAAAGAAAAGATAATATAACAGAGATTTCAAAGTATAATTAGAAAAAGCTATAGCAAAGGATCAAAAAGCAAAGAAAAATAAATTGCCTCTTATTAAAAAATAGCAAAAGTCTTATTATGCAGATTAAATACTTAATAAATAGCCTTTTAATACTTAGTAAACTCAAAAAATGAAGACTATCTTTATACAAAAGTGACTATTATATTCTATGCAAAGAAGAAATCTCAGAAGACTTTGAATACTTAATTCAATGCATAGTGCTATAAGATTTCTAAAAAGAAATCAAAAATGCAGTAATAAATAATATCTGCAAGCTTCTTTCTGAAGAAAGTAACATTTCTGATCTGCTATCAAAAATCAGAACAACTATTTTTCCAGAAGATAAAGAAAGTTGATTCTAAAGAAGAAAAGAACTAGTAATTGGACTTGAAGAAAGGAAAATAGCTGAAGATATCAGAATACTAGCATAGAAAAAAATATTATAAGAATTTCAACGCAAGGCTGCAGAATATGAAGATGTGATCGAATGGATTCCTTTTAATAAATTGGTTAACATAGAAAAGAGTAATAAATTAATTAACATAGAAAAGAGTTGTGAAGAGTTTTCTGCAATTTGGGTAGATGGCATTCGATCAATTTCAAGCACAGCTAAAGGATATACACGGTCAAGGATACCACATTACAATGTAGCGCTCAGAAGCTTTCCTAGTTGCCACAATTCATCGGATTTTTTAAATAAAGTAAGTTTTTTTTATCATATGCAGTTTGATCTCAATTAATAAATGTTTAAATTCTACTTATTACTGTAATTTTTATATTTTTAAGTTTGAAAATTATGTACAATCGGAGGAGTTCGACGGTAATAAAGTATATGGACTAACTC